ATGGAGGTGTCCATAAAGACTTTTCTTTAAAGTTTGATGTATTTGGATTTTCAGTAGGGTGGGTTTTGTTGTGAAAAAAGTCTTAGTTTTATAGAGAATTCATGCAGGTCAGAAAGAAGTTCGGGCTCATTAACATAGCTGTTATTTGGGCAGAAGTTGATATCTTTACTAAGAAGACTGAGTTCTGCTTCAGATAGAGAGTTATGTCTGAAAGATTAACAGTGTTGGAGATATGTTGGAAGTGTTCATCATTATCTGTGTGTTTTATGAGGTCACTGTTATTTTCACCAGATTTGTTAGTTTGAGAAGGCTTATGCGTATTAGGGGATGAAATGTTTTTAAACGTTTTTTTAGGCTGATCATTGTGAGATAAAGGGATTTTGGTAGTTTCTGGCAGACTGCTTAATGTCATGGTAATTTCTTTAGGACAAAGAAGAGGATTTGACAGAGTGTTGTTAGAAGTGCTTTTTGAATTGCTGTTATTGGTAGGAAGCTTATTTTTGTTATTCTTTTTGAGAAGGAATATATCAGTTCTCTTTGTAAACTTTTGTAGTTTTTCTTTTTCTTCCAGCGAAAGGTTGTACAGGTGATAATAGTGGAAAATTTCTTTAGCTAGAATATCAACAGAATGTTTTAGTCATGTTCATGAGTTCTAAGGAGGTGTTTTTGGGGATCTGTTGCCATTTATTGCAGAAGTTCTGATCATGTGCTCCTATTGTTATTGGTGCTTTTAATGTGAGACATTGAGGTATGTTTTGGTCTTTTATGTTATGCACTAATGACTTGGCATGTTGACAATGTTTTGTGCATTTCTCAGTGAGTTTTCTAAGTTTTTGAAATAGTTGTTTTCTGCTGTAATTGAGTGATTCACTGCTTGGTTCACGTTGAATGTTGACAGATATTGGTGTGAGGACGTCATTGTAATCGTGAGATAGAGGATGGTTAAGTTTGAGGGAAGGAAGAGGGAGTAACTATCTTCTTAAGAGTGTGGAGTTCATTGCTGGTCGTTCTGAGAGTTTATGCTAACAGATGAAAGACTACTGTGTTCTAATGAAGGTAATTCTACAAGACACTGATCGACTGATGAAAATTGTAGTGTGGAACATGTAGCGCTTACACAGAAGCATAATAAGAATGCTATTTGTGGAATGTGATGTTTTGTGGCTAGTCCTCTAGCAGAATTTGAAGGATCACTGTGAGAGAATGAATGAGTGTTTAGTTGGGTAGATTGAGTGATAGAGGTATTATTGTGAGAGACGTTGGTAGCTTCTGAGATAGGTAGAAATGTAGAATTTTGACAGGGAAGGGTAGAAGAACTACAAGAAGTAGAAATAGGAGATGATTGGGGTAACTTAGAACAGGAAGACAAGTGGGAGAATGCGTCAGTAAATAAAGTACTTGAAGTTTGAGGCCAGGGTAAAAATACCAGAAAAGTTGAGGTGAAGTCATCTTGTGCAAGAAAATTAGTGAGTGGTATTAGGTTTGTGTGGTTGATGAAATCAAGTTGGGGGTTAATTTTGAATAGGTGTTTGGTTAATTCATTAAAACGTTGAATTTTGTTATGAGTTGTTTAATTATTGTACTGTTTTGTGTGTTGCAGTCAGTGGAAGTGTATCTGTTCATATATCTATATATTACACTAGAGATAGCCAGTTTAATGTGTGGTCTGAGGCTGAAGATATGTGCTATTGTGTTTTCAAGTTCTGAGAAAGTCTTCAGCAGTCTTATCGGATTGTTTTAATCTTTCTTTGAGACACATTTTGAAAAAAACATGTTACAAGTTCAAACACATTTATAAAGAACTAATACTCATTGATGCTATCATCATGTCACTGTAAATTAAGAAGAAATTTATGTTTTCTGTTCTTATCTTTTTGTGAAATTTCATTTCTTTTGCTTTCAATTTAATGTGTGGTCTGAGGCTGAAGATATATGCTATTGTGCCTTCAAGTACTGAGAAACAGTCTTCAGCAGTCTTATTGGATTGTTTCAGGTCGTTAGTACCGAAATGAATGATCAGAAATCGTATAGATTCGAGAGGAGAACTGGTCATTGATGGCATCGTTTATTTTAGCTCAAGTGATGGATTTTGACAGGATTGGGTGTCCATTAATAAAGGTTAAATGTTCATGTAGGTACTTAAGCATTGAATCACCTAAAATGCTAATTATGGGAAATAAAAGAGTATACTTACCTGAAATGGGTTCATGTTCCTCACATGGTGGTACACAGAAATGAATAAAAAGCCTATAACATGAGCACTTTCGAAAGGTGGACCTTTCTTCTTCAGGGGCAAACTTGGAATGGTGGTGTAATTGAATGAGTGATGTATATAAAGGGGCTTTAGTGATATCGTGAAGGTCATCTGGTTTTCCAGGAAATGTTTAGTCTATTTCTCTATGTACTGTTGTAAGCATCTCATTTCTGGTAAAATGTAGCCAATGGCAAGAGTTTATGTGAAAAGGTGTTAGGGTCAAAGTGGGACATAACAGTGCTCCTGTCTTCTAATTCTTGGTCAAGCCAGTTCACTAGTTGTTTATTGGTAATGTATGGACACAACTGGCCGATATGTATGACGAGCTTTTGCATGTTTTTTGGCAGCTGTAACTTGTAATGGAATTATTTATTAGAAATAAGTACTCAAGCTAATGCTGCTCTCTCTCTCTAGTCAGGAAACACTATTTAATGTGTGGGCTCTATAACCACATTACATAACACTGATGTGCTAGAGTTCATCTATGGTAATCCATGGAACACTACTTGTGTACATGGGAATACTGTGATTTCTTCTCCCACTTTTGGCTAACCTTGGATAACTGACCCATGAAACATCATTTCACCTCTTGCACAGGCAAAATTGACTGATGACCTGTGCAGCATAAGGATTCTTATACAAGAACTGAGTTTGGCAATGACTAGTTTCATTCTTTGAGTGATGCCTCCTTGACATAGACAGAGTTACCTATCCATTCAGATCTAGTTTACCTTCATTAACTAGAGCAAAGTTTGCATGTTGACTGGCCTGAATTATAGTTTTGCTCAGAAGGTCTACGTACTATGAAATCTGCCAGGAGTTCCATCTATTGCAATTGTACTCTGAGAGGTACATACCATGCCCCACCTAGCCCTATCAAATAGATTTACATGCCCAATTTGTGCACCATTAGTTTCCTGGAGCATTATAGTTTCAGTTGAATCTTGTAGCTTTAACTAGAACCTCTACCTCACAACTTCTTAGCTGTCACCTGACTGAAGTGTCTTGGATGTCATTAACACATCATGGAAGGCACTCTTAGGGTCTTTGATCCTTGTGTAGTAGTCAGTCTTTATTCCACAGTGGCAGATCAATGATTGCTGTCAGCAGCTTGCCCATGATCCACAGTTGCTTCAACACGATGATTCTTGGTTCAGAGAGGCTCACCACTTCACTGTGGTTCATCTACTTCACAATTTGATATTTGCGGCTCCACCTGCTTGCGAGATAGCTTTTATTGGTTGGTGATATCCACCAATGGCACCTTAAATCTTTCCTCAGTATTCTTTGGTGGTTTTACCCAGTGCTTTGGTTGTGTTACTCTGGCTGGCAAAATTCAGAGTGTCCTATGCAAACCACCCCACTCACTCTCAGATTTGCCAGATACCACACCACTGCAAAAATCCTTAGTTGTTTGTGCTTTCCTTGCAATGAGGTTGAACCTTAGGGGAAAAGCATGAATGTCTGTTATGGGTAAACTAGACTTCAGTGGCTCATCTTCCTGATTCCTTGGCTTCAACAGGATAGAAATCATAGACCTTTGCAACATCAGCAACAGTTCAATGTCCAGATGGGGAATTCTCTTAGATGCAACAACCCTCTTTCTTCAGTGACTGACTCTTTGTCTTGGTTTTAAATCCATCAAAGTTGTAGAAAATGCCATTTCCAATAACACAAAGCCTTTTGAAAGTTAATAACACAAGTGTAAGAGTAATGTACGCATCAGCAGAAGACAGAAATCTCCAAAAACCAAGGTTTGAATCCTGGTCATGACACCAAAATTTTCATTTTATTATCTACTCTGTGGTGTATTCAGGTAAAACTGACTATTTCTAGAGCAATGGAATAGGTCCACTGAATAACAGGAGATCCAACAAAATATCCTATACTGTGTAATACTGTGTTTCACTAAATACCTGCATTCATGAGAACAAAAGAAGAGTTTGGACACATTGTAAAATACAGAAAGCACAATCTTTATTACTACACAACATAAATACAGCATATGTACTTGTTTTGGACTAGGTTACTTGTAATGGATTGGAACTATTCTTCTCAAACTGATCACACCAAGATTATCCATCAAACATTTTAAGTTTGATGTTCCCTATTCACAGATAACATTGGATTTACCCAGAGTGACTCCCACTACCCATGTGATTCTCATTCAAACATGTAATCTTAATATTCTCTCTGACTTATTATTAAGAGCACTTTTGTCTACATTCTTACATGACATACAGCATTACTGTCATCCTACCATGGACAGAACAAGTGTGGCACCAACGGAATGACAAAGGAACAAATACAGTTAGAATGAAGTCAATGTAATGGCTTTCTTGAACATTTTTTTATGTAATAAACTTCACATGCTTAAAATAAATGATAAATTTAGAAGAATATTAAATTAATATAGAAATTTATTTATGAATTTTAGTTTTTCACTAAACATGAACTTCAGTGAAGAAAGTATGACATAAGGCTAATATATGCTTTGGTTTGCTACTTCCAGTGCAGTTACAAAATGTATGGTATGTTTATATATCACAAGTTATGAAAATGTACTCCGTTTGAATTAAAAAAAAGTTTTTTCATTATAACAAAACTGTTTGACTTGCCAAAATGTTTAATGCTTTTATGCTAGTTATAAAACGAGAGCATTATCTTGTATATTATTCCTGTGTATTTTTTAAACTTTGTCCGAGAGATTCAGAAGTACTAGATATTTATGATTTACTTTCCATAGAAAGAAAAGTTTGGACTGAATGTGTGTGGAGAAGGTGGTGAATATGAGACCTTCACTTTAGACTGTCCTTTATTCAAAAAGAAAATTGTAATGTAAGTTTTATTATTATTATTTCTTTAAGTAGTATATGTCATTGTATATATAAGTTCTTTCATGGTCAAGCTAGCTGTTTGTAGTTTCTAGGCTGCTGATAAAATAGGTTTGTGTCAGGCTAGTTATTCTGGCCTCATATTGAAAGTACTCATTTAGTTATTAAACACAGGGAAGTTTCTTTAAAAGCAAAAATTAAACTTTCTTACCCAGTGCTAGGGACGTTACGTTGTCAGTACTTCTAGTTCTGTTTGTCCAACCATTCTTCTTTGTGATCTCACATAATATGTTATGCTGCATCGTATCTGTAAGTTTATTACTGGTGTTTTAAGCAATGCTCTTAGAACTTGGACAAAACAGTATACTTTTCAAAGAGGGGTAAACCCAAAACATTGGTAATAAACTGCTTTATTCTGGAGTTTAGTTATTTTTAACTTATTTTAACTTCTCCAGTTTCACTATATCATTGAAAATCTAATACTTGTTCATGTGGTTTTACCTACTTTCAGAAGACAAATTGTAAGAAAGCTTTTGACATTAATAATTGATACAGTGATACATTAGAATATTTCACATTGGTCTAAGTGAAAGATGTGATTTTTTTCTTATAGCAGAGAAATAATATGTTGGTGATAAATGCAGAATTATCATTATAGTGTTGTGGTTTAAATCTGGGGGATTTAATGAGTAGTGTATCATATAAATGTAAGGTAACTGATTAAACAAAATTACAATTATAACAGTTAATGTCATAAACAAATAAATCAACATTAGAAAATTATGATTATTACTGTTTTTTATTGTTCCAATAATCGCTTAATTGAAATTACTGTTAATCGTTTGTCATGAAATAAACAACTAATCCCAGTTAATGTTGACATTTATTTTTGTTTGACTATTCCAACAATTGATTAATCTCAATTACAATTAAATTAATTGTCATGAAAACAATAAGTTAATCAAAATTAGGGTTCTGATTATTACTATTTTGATTATTCTACCTATTTAAATAATCAGAATATTGCCATTACATCTTTTGTTGTTAAGCATAAAGCTGCACAATGGGCTGTTTGTGTTCTGCCCACAGTGGATATCAACACCAGATATTTTGCATTGTAATTGTTATTTTTAATTTATGTTTGTTCTTTTTTGGGCCAGCATTGTCTTGTTATTGGGGGGGACTCAGGACTCGAGAGTCTCGCGTTCGATTTCCATTTCTACTGCCCCCCAGTGGCAGCGGTATGTCTGTGATCTTACAATGTTAGAAACCTGGTTTCGATACCCGTGGCAGGCAGAGCACAGATAGCCCATTGTGTAGCTTTGTTCTTAATTTCAAACAAACAAACAAACCATTTCTACCTAACTTGCTTGCCCTATCTTTGTTATGGGAAAGCTAGTAACACTATCTGTCATTGTAACTAATTTTGAACTGCTGACTACTAGAGGGAAGGTAACATTTTTTTTTTTTTTGCATCTACAGGGGGAGGGAAATGTGAACCATAGTTTGAGGAACACTATTAATCTAATATAATTGATTACTGGACCCATCCATTAATCAATTAGAAAATACAACTAACTGCCCAGCTCTATTGTAGTTGAAAAAGTCATTCTTTCGTAGAAAGTTTTGATTGTTCAAGTTTTTTTTTTTTTTTATTATCTTTGGCAACTGAGCTGCCTAAAACCTACATCAGGTACTTGTTTTGAATTCAGATAGCAAAAGTTACTAATTTCTATAACTTGAATGCTTACTGATGATAAGGTATTTGAAATACAATTCACTGATAACACCTTTAACTGATATGAAAGTTTATATAACTGTTTGTTTTTCTTTCTGTACTGCAGAAAAAGAAGAAATTACTGAACTTTTTAATTTTAATCAGCTTTGTAAAAGATGCATGTCCTTTATGCTTATTTCAAGAAGACTACATATAAAAATTAATAAGTCCTAATATAATTTTGTTGGATTCATTATATATTTTCTTTATGTACTGTATTTCCAGAGACCAGAAGAAGACTGTGATCCATTCTAATGATGCCTTTGCTCCAGTTGGTTACCTGAAGTTTTCAGCAATGCATCTTGTTGACAAAAACAGAGTAAGGATGTTATTATTAGTGTAAAATAAAATGTCTTGTAGAGGTGTATGGAATATGGTAGCTATTGAAGGTAAAACTCCACTCTGCTTCCCATTCTTAATGATGAAAAATAATTAATTTCAATTTCTTGTCTATATTTCAAAACCATATTTTATTTCTGTCATAATGTGTTTTTTGTCGAGAAAGTGCTTGGTAGTTGTAATTGAATAGTTCACTTAATTTCCTGGTAAGATGTATTCTGTCATAATGTGTTTTTTTCCTTTTATGTGTGTCGAGAAAGTACTTGGTAGTTGTAATTGAATAGTTCACTTAATTTCCTGGTAAGATGTATTCTGTCATAATGTGTTTTTTCCTTTTATGTGTGTCGAGAAAGTGCTTGGTAGTTGTAATTGAATAGTTCACTTAATTTCCTGGTAAGATGTATTTTATTTTTATGTTGTTCATTTTTCAAGTTAAATCTATAATGTTAAAAAGTAAAGCTTTTGTAATTGAACTAAAATCATGTGAAAATGATAAAAACAATTCTGAATTAAAGTTTTGTAAATAATATTTTCTACTTATGAGAAATGTAACTTGAAATTGATATACAAAGTACATCATCTGTTTTTGGAACACTTAAACCTCAAATTTTCAACTAGTTTTTATACTGTTGGGCTACATAATTGTATCATGTTCAGCAGTTTTATGTTTTTGCCTGTTACAGAACTGGTCAAAATGTTTTGGTGAAATCACTCATTTTCTATACAAAATGCTTAGGGGACCACCAGCAATTAATTTGATTAATTGCAGTCTTGACATTTTTTTATGACTTGTATGTTATTAGGGACTGTATAACCAACAATGTCGTAGACTCACAAGCAGTTAAGTGCATAAATAATTTAGAAAATATCCATAAGCATTCTTTCAGTAATTCTAGAGCTAAAAAACTATTTTAACTTCTCTATTGTAAGCACACAGTAGTAAAAATTATGCCAGACTACAGATTTTTTTTTTTTTTTTTTTTATACCACATTTTTCTTGATTTGTCAAATAAATTTTTTTTTATACACTTATGATTTGAAATCTGTAATGAGCATGTTATTTTTTGTTACTTATACTGGGACAGTTGGTTTCCTATGCTTAGCCAGCTTTCACCATTCAAAACTTATTTGAAATTGTGTAATGATACTCTGCAAAACCAAATTGTCAGTGATCAATAACCTTATTTTTGTGCTTTCATAACTGGATTGTTTTGTATAGTATATGGTGTTATAGATATTACTTTTCATTAGCTATATCACAGATTCATAAGTCAGTAAGATGGGAATTCTTCAAATAGCTTTTCAGCTTTCTTCATAGACATATAGTTTGTTCACCTTGTTCCATAAATATTGAAAATTACAGCAATTACTAGATAATCATGTTTAACTTTGTTCATAACTAACTCATAAAAATATCACATTTCAGATTACACTTTAGCTACTGTCCTGTTAATCATAAGTGTCACACCTAGTATTCTGAACACCTTAAGGTGTGGAAGCTGGCCTTGTGAGACTATTTTTGGCAGAACTCAGTCTTTGCAAGTAGAAGACCATCCTTGTCACTTCTGACCTACATATCAAACAGTTTATCCTTGGAAAGATGTTCTTATATGTATGATAATGTTTCTTTCATTTTGTATATACCCAATATCAACGACTGCAGACATTTTTCAGAGAGTACATCAGTCTTATTCACGTTGACCGTTTTCATGCTGAACCTTTGGACTCTACAACCTGTTGAAATGTATTGGGTTGTTTCACTGTTTGAAGCAAGCATTGTGTGACAGCAAGATAAGTTTTTTAGTTTGTGTGAGGGCAGGCCAATAACAGGTGAAAGAGCACTGGTTATTTATATATATGCTCTTATAAAAGTAACCTGTTGGTTAGTAAATAGCATTTATGAGTTTCCACTGATTTATTTAGGCATAAATTACTATTAATGTCTGTCACACTTTTGTCACAGGCCTTGAAAAAATTGCACTTTTGTAGAATGCTGGTTACACCTCATTTGTAGTAAAAATAGTATTTGGGTTTTTACACCCAGTAAGTAAAGGGGATCCATTATATTCCTAAATCCTCTGTCTACAATAGCTAATTATGTAATTGTATTCAGGTGAAAATGTTTTCAGTTTCAGAATATGTGAAGAATAATTTATGGATAATTATCTCACCAATCAGCAAGATGTTAACAAAAGATCTACACAATGTATTTGCCAATAGATACAACCATCATTGTTTTGACAAGTGGTTGCTGCTTATACTCTTTCTTTGGAAAGCATACTCTACAGTTTTCTGTATATACAAATGCATGTAATTTGAAACTAAGACTACAACATTGTTGTTCCCTTCTGCCAAACATTTTAGTGTTATAGGACAGGTATGGTTAGCTTTCTGTTCTTGGTCGCTGCTATGTCCAAACCTGAGATGTAGAAGAACAAAATTGTCTATCAAAGCAGAATGAGCCATATATATTGATCTTCAGGTCATCAAATTAGGACTTGGTCATTCATTTAAATGTAAAGTATTTGCCATCATTGGTTTGTTAGAATGACCAAAGAATACATATATTCTCAAAAAGATCAATCACATCCACTTTGTTGTATTTCATATGGTTGGCCTTTGCATCCATCACCTGACATCAGTCAGTATAAATTGTTTTCTATCCAGCAAAGATGAAAGTACCATGGTTCTCAAATATGTGAGTTTGTGCTTTAAGTGGTTCAATACTCATGTGAATACATTTTGGGTACACAACCCATTTGATATAGTGTGGCCCATTGACATAATGTTCAGTTTTAAACATTTTGGTCTTGTACGGACTGGTTTACTCAGGAATTGATGTGGAGTAGAGTTGGGCAGTTAACTTGGTTAATCAATATGATTGATTACATTAATTTGTGTCATATACATTAATCATTAGTCAAAATAATGGTTAAATTCATTAATGTAACAAAAATAATCATTGTAAAAAAATTAGTGTTTCCCATTATTAATGTCTTCATTATTCCAACTACCAAAGTAATGAAAATATTGACACTCTGATTTCTCATTATTATTTTTGTTTAATTCAAGGTCGTCCAGTATAATCAGTTAGTGTCATAACTCCCAAAAATAATCAGTTAATCAAATTAGTTGAATGCATTTGCTTAATGAGTCTGATTAGGAAGTTTCACTAATCACCCAGCTTTAATTTGGATGAGAATTTAGGTTGGATCAGTTCTATTAGTTTCACTGTCATCTGAAGGAGATTTAACAGGTTGACAAGTAGTACTGTTAATGGCATTTTGTATAAATGACAACTTCAGCAGGAGTTTCTTATCTCTTTAAATGTATGTTCTGAATTCACCATTATGTTTTCCTGATATCTGTCTTCTCTCTTTAGATCCACACTTTACTTGGTATATGACACATCTGTGAATGTCTCACAAACATTACTTCAGGGTGACCTTTATAAACCACATAGTGAGAAAATTAGCAAAAATCTATTGGCTTTATTGAGCAAGTTGCAATTTCATTAGTTACCTTTTTTACATTGTACACTTGCATCACAGGGTTTAAATTTTTTGAAATATGGCAAAAAAGATTGATCTTTACACTTTAGCTTTATAGTTTTTATAACAAAAAAACAACAAATGCCTTCTTTAAACAGTATGGCCTCTTAATATTTATTACATCTCAAATGAAAAATAACATAATGAAGATTAAAGTTGTTTAAAGATGTCAATCTGATTTTTTTTTTTCAAAAATGTATAAAAAGTAGGTAAAATGATGTTAAACTGGGCATAATGCACAAGTGAGTGTCTCCATGGTACTCGGGGAAGAAATAAGGATGTGGGAATACACATGGTACCAAAGTAGGTAAAATGATGTTAAACTGGGCATAATGCACAAGTGAGTTTCTCCATGGTACTCAGGGGAAGAAATAAGGATGTGGGAATACACAAGCTCATTCCTGCAAATATACCTGATCATAGTTTCATTACATGTGAAGTGCTTGAATAGTAAATAAATAACTTGGCCAATAATTATAGATGAACCTTTCATCTTGTGTACCTATGTTTTTTAACAAATTGATTTTTTTTATTACTTAAACTACAGCAATATTTTTCGTAACTTAAGAGAATGTAAAATGTTTTAAGTAAAATAATTTATGAAAAGTCTTTATATGCAACTGTATGAAAGTTTCTGTACCCTTCAATTTAGTAATAACTTTCTTTTTGAAACAAAACAGAAGTTAATTGAGGTAAACCTCTTTTTATGTAGCCGTACTGAGGCATAAAGATTTTTATGCATTATTTCCTTTGTAAATACTTTCATATTCTATAGAAATATTATGTAAAGTAAGCAGTAGCAGTGTTATCAATATCTGTTGAATACAGCTCAGGTTCTCTGAAGAATATATAGTAGGTTATCGTTGAATGCATGTTTTCATTGTAGACAAGATAAAGAATAAAATACACCTTTATGCGAGAGCATATATTTGAAAACGTTAAACTTCTTTTTGTAATATTGATTTTCAGAATGAAAGGATGACTCAACAGGAATGTTTAGCAGGACTTCCAGTGAATGTAAAAACATAGATGTAATTTCACTGTACAATAAAGAAAGTTTTATAATTTTAAGTGCCTTTTTTCTTATATGTTTATGATACTGTTTGCAATAAACATATTAAGAAATTGGATAAAATAAATCCAGCAAGAAATGTTGTTTCTAATTACAATAAATAGTAACATCCTTATTCACATTATCCATGCCATTCAAGTACATTGGTGCTCAAGGCACAGTAAAACAAAATTTCATTTTTGTAATTGTGATTTAGTTTGCTTCAAGTAGTCTTATTTCCAATAATGTGAGTTCATTTGTGAATCATATACAATGCTATTATAATCTTAAATTTTTGGAATTAGTTTGTGATAAGTAGACTTCATTGTTATTACATGAACCCTTGTGACAATTGATTCTGTTGTCACAAGTTACATAAATACAAAGAAAGTGTAAATCAGAATCTTTCATTCTTGAGTTCACTATATAAAAATTGTTAATAATGGAGCAATGTTCAAATCTTATTTTAAAGATTTACTGCTTTCAGAGAAAATAAAGATACTTGTATGTGTGTTCTGTGAGAAAATAGTTTTAATGATATGAATTCTGTGTAAGACTAATGATTTTATTTTTAGTCTCTCCAACTTAAGTGGGTTGTTTTGAGGATTTTACTTGATAATCATTAGTTTCAAGCTCAGAGTTAAAAACAATGTGTAAATCGTCCCTTAGTAACTTATACATTGACAGCTAGATGGTTGTTTTCTTGACTTTGTCAAAATACAGTTAATGGTAAATGTCACCACGTGTAAACAGAATAAATTCCTCTTGAATCTTCACACCATAATCACACAATAATAAATCTAGTTCTTCTTGTTAACATATATTTAATGGTAAATTTTCATCACTATGTAAGTTATGTAAATTCCTCTTGAATCTTCACACCATAATAAATCTAGTTCTTCTTGTTAAGATATATATAATGGTAAATGTTCATCACTGTGTAAGTTCTTCACACCATAATCACACACTAATAAATCTAGTTCTTCTTGTTAAGATATATTTAATGGTAAATTTTCATCACTATGTAAGTTATGTAAATTCCTCTTGAATCTTCACACCATAATCTCACAATAATAAATCTAGTTCTTGTTAAGATATATTTAATGGTAAATGTTCATCACTGTATGTAAGTTAAAGAAATTCCTCTTGAATTTTGACCCACTAGGCCTGGGTCTTTTTGTCAAGGCATACTTCATGGTAAAACATTTTCATCATAGGCAATCAGAAAATATTCCTCTTGAATATTAACAAACAATTCATTAAGTCTTTCCCTCTTGTGAAGATATATTTAACAGTAATTTTTTGTCACTGTTAGAGGCTTCAAATACTGAAAGTGGAGGAAAAAGTACTGAAAAACAAATAAAAGTAATACAGTTTGGATTTCAGCAAGGGAGAGGAACAATATATATATATATATATGTGTGTGTGTGTGTGTGTGTTAATCTTCTGCAGGGGAAGTACCTTAAAGGACACAAGAAGTTATACCATGCATTTGGAGAAAGCATATGACAGGGTGCCATAAGAATTAGTATACTGGTGCCTCCAAAAGAAAGAAGTGCCCAAAAAGCTAATCAGACTAGTGAGAACCACTTTTGAAGTCTGTTGTTCTTTAACTCCTCCGGAATATATTTGACCAACGATTCTGTGTCCAGCTCATCGGTGACTTCAAAACCAAGAAATTCTTCATGAACTTCTGATTCATTATAGTACTGAAGTATCAAACTCATCTGCTCTTTTTGGGTGGGTCTTTAGTTTCATCGATTAAGATTGAAAAGTACTGATCTTCTCTTATTTCTTCTTTTATTTTGTCCAAAATTATGTCACTGAGGATATCCAAAATGACATCTTGTACACTATGGTGAGTATATTTGGCATTTTTAGGTCCTTCACACTATTGTTCATTTAGGATCTGGGAAAAAGTATTTAAGAAGTTTAACATTTCCAAAAAGTTTCCTTTAGTTTCATCCGTGTCTCCTTACCGAGGACCCCTCTGAGCTATGTTTTGGACAGCCGTAACTTTCAATGTATGTGCAAGTATTTTGATGTATTCCTTTTTTTTTTTCCACAATCAGCCACTGGTTCTAAATAAGCATTATAGTTGCACACGTTGTTCAAATGTGCATCAAGCTGCTTGTGTTTGAAAAACTTATTGTTTTTTGGATATTCACCCGTACATTTTTTCCATGTATTGAACCCTTCAGACATAAAAGCTTACTCACCTTGATATTTAGCGCCTGTAGTAAAATGACAAAAGACAACGCAGTAAACTTTGTCAGTAGATGCGGAATATTCAATCCAGTGATATGCTTTATACTTCTGTCGAGTTTTTAGGTACGGGTATTTCACCTTCGGTGCTTCTGGCTTGGTCCACCTGTCTCCTTGACAGATTCACCTTCCTGGGAATCCTGTGATTTGCGAGGATTTTTTGCAAAATTTTCTGATATCCATTTTCTCAGTAGTAAGACTTGACGTGTCTACACACATATGTAGAACATCAACTTCATGTAATAATTAACAACAGTAAAATTTATCCTTTAAAGATACCCGCGATCTCTTGACCTATAAACTTGAAGAACGACCTCGTAACAAGTGCTGAGCGTAAAGTAAAAGCACCGAAGATAGCTTGGTACACAACATGCTCGTGTTTGCTTACCGTAAAACCAGTCTGAAGACCTTATTACGTTTCTAAGAAAGGCAGGCCTAGGCCTCTTTTCAACCTATTTTCGTGGGTAGTATAATGTGTCATCGCTTAGACAAAGCATAATATTTATAGTCTTCGATATTAGTTACAAAGCTATCAAATAGAAAATCAAACCCTTCTTACCACGCCCACCTTTCAGAACTTGCCAATAGTTTTCTCTGACTTTTAATCCTATAGCATGTATAACCAATAGAAAACCAAGGGTTCTGCCTTTGAAATGGCTTATTATTCTACTTTCTTTTTTGTGTACTTTTTGTTTCAGTTTTACTTTTGTTTCCCCCTGAGACAAATCGACCGGCTTTGCTTAATTTCTAACGACGTTTGTAGCATAATTAGAAAGCCAGAAAAACTGTGATAGTTATGGGAGATATTCTGCTTTTTGTACGTTATTATTATGTGTTCTTTCGAGCATTATTTAGTGCAGTAGTACCATTAGTATAGAAAGACAAGAGTTAAAGGGAATACCTATTATTGTAGGATACATCTGGGGGACTTCTAGCATACAGGAAAAAAATCCTTTTAGAAGGTAGTGCACGTACAAACGCGTTTTGTTGTTATACACATTACATTTGCCCTATGTATGTAGGATTTTTTTTTGGGGGGGGGGGTAAACTGGGAGCAAGAAAAATTTGAGTGGGCAAATACCCCCTGTAGCAACTGCTCACATTAGTATTTTCCTTACTTAATCTTGTATTAAACGTGATTTCTATTTTAGGAATAGGTAGAGACTACTTTCTCCCTATTTTTATTTACGAGTTAACTAGGTGAAATGGGTAGCCCTATTCACAATGTATATAGTGGTGGATTCTTCCAGCCATATTGATACATTTTGCTGGTATAGATCTAACTTCATCTAGAGAGAAATGCTGGTTTTCATCTGTTTTGTTTTAATTTCACTGACAATTTGTCTTTGTGGATCCAGGCTCTTTTTTTTTTTTTCGTTCAACTCAGCAAAACACAGTTTACTGAACCTCTTCTTACATTAAGTTTAACTATTACCAGAAAGTTATCACTGGGCCTGAGAATACAACACTGTAAGGATGAATTTTGGTGTTGTCGCCTCAGGATTTGTTTTCCTATAAATTTCTTTGTTTTCTTAACATTTATTTTTTCTGTGTTCTAATTTCGCTGTCTACATAAGTTTGTGATTTGGTAAAATTTGGAAATGGTATTATCCGGATGAAGGACTTGTGTGCGAGAGGAGGGTGGAGTTAGTCGTGGTTCGTGATCTAGGAGAAGTTTTCTCCTGAACATCGATTTTTCATCAATGAACTGAAAGGACATGTCTTCAATCTCTGTCTGGTTGAAGATTCGTGGAGCACACGGTAAGGTATTTTCCGACTTGATGACATTATTATAAGCTTGCACAGAAAATATAAAATACTGAAGATTCCAAGTTACTTGCATCCTGGATGTCCTGAGATAAAGTGGGTAGATTGTTGCTTAAGTCGTTTTAGCTCATTTATAGCACAGTGCAGTGGTGGGCTGGATAAACTGACCTCGCAGGCCGGATCTGGCCCACAGGCCATAATTTGGTGACCCCTGTCTCAATAGATGGGGAAAAAATTAAGAAAAAATACTTAGAAGTTTAGTTCTCTCTCAATAGGTGGAGAAACAAATAATAAGGAAAATACTTGGAAGTTCAGTTATCTCTCAATAGACGGAGAAAGAATACTGGTAGTTCAGTTATCTCTCAATAGATAGAGAAAAAATACTTGGAAGTTCAGTTATCTCTCAATAGATGGAGAAAAAATATTTGGAAGTTCAGTTATCTCTCAATAGACGGAGAAAAGTATTTGGAAGTTCAGTTATCTCAATAGATGGAGAAAAAATACTTGGAAGTTCAGTTATCTCTCAATAGAGGGAGAAAAAATACTTAGAAGTTCAGTGATCTCTCAATAGATGGAGAAACAAATTAAGAAAAAATCTATTGAGAGATAATTAAACTTCCAAGTAAATAGATGGAGAAAAAATTAAGAAAAAATACTTGGAAGTTTAATTATCTCTCAATAGATGGAGAAAAAATTAAGAAAAAATACTTCGAAGTTTAATTATCTCTCAATAGATGGAGAAATAATTAAGAAAAAATGCTTTGAAGTTCAGTTTTTTTCTCCAGCTATTGAGAGATAATTAAACTTCCAAGTCTTTTTTCTCCATCTATTGAGAGATTTAAGAAAAAATACTTGGAAGTTCAGTTATCTCTCAATAGATGAAGAAACACTTAATAAGGAAAAATACTTGGAAGTTCAGTTATCTCTAAATAGATGGAGAAAAAATTAAGAAAAAAATACTTGGAAGTTAAGTTATCAGAGGCGACTG